ACTCCGCCGGCGCCGTCCGATACCGTACGACGCAGCGCCCGCGCGTCCGCTTCTGCCCCGACGGAATATGACCGCGAGCCTTCCCAGAGGCCTTCGAAGAGCTCGACGCCTTGGTTCTCCGGTCGGTTGCCGAGAATACTGCCGGCGTTGGCGTGCTGGCCGATGTGCCATTTGCCGATCGCCGCCGTCGAGTAACCGACGCTCTGCATGCGTTCCCAGATGGTCACCTCCGAAGTGGGCAACCCCTGGTCCGTCGGAGAAGATCCGATGGCGCTCGTATCGCTGATGATATTGTTGCCATAACCGAAGCGATTGCCGTAACGACCCGTGGTGATCATCGCGCGGGAGACCGAGCACACGCTGCCCGCGTAGGCATTCGTGAAGCTAACGCCACGCGACGCGAGTCGATCGAGGTTCGGCGTCGGGATGACGCCCCTGGCCCCGGGGTTCGCGGCGGGGTCGGCGTCACGAATGAAACCGAAATCGGCCCAGCCTGCGTCATCTGTGATGATCAGAACGACGTTCGGACGTTCCACCGACAGAGCAGTCTCTGCCGCGAGGATCGTGAGGACGGCGATAGCGACGGTGCGAATCAAGTGGATAGTCTCAAAGGTTGTAGAAGCCTCGCCGCGCCCGCCATCAAGACGAATCTTGACGGTTGCAGTCCTGTAAAGCCCCACAGGTGGACGCGGCGAAGCGTAGGCAGTAGTCCGGGTCCTAACGGCGAGCGCGGTGAACCATCAGCGCTAGCGAGAGGCCCGCAAGCATCACGGTCGAGGGCTCGGGCACGGCCAGCGATGACGACGAAGTGATGGCCGCGTAGCGCGCCGCCACGTCGCCAGCGGTTAGCGCGGTTGGCGTGAACTCGAAGATCGCGATGTGACCCTTCAGATCGAAGTCAGCGCTGGCGTCGCCCGGATCGGTCAAGGGACCGCCCGAGGCGAACACGCCGCCGATTAACCCGAGGCCGGCCTGGTTACCGCCAGCCCAGTCGTTCACGTCCGTAGGGCTCAGCTCGGTCGTGGCGGCGAGCACGCCGTTGACGTAGAGATCAACGTAGTCGTCCGCCGAGGGGAGTGTCGCTTCGTAGGTGTTGTGGATGACGGCCACGACCTGCGTCCAGCCGTCGTCGGTCAGCGTCGTCGATACCAGCTGATCGTTGCCTGCGAAAGCCGACTTCACGTACAGCGAGAGGGTGTCATCTTGCAGCGAAAGGTAAGACCCTGCGCCAGTCCCGCCGACCTCGTAGAGGACCTGATCGCCGTTGGACAACCCGTCCGGCTTGAACCAGAGCTCGAAGGAGCCGCTCTGACGACTCACTTGCTGACCGTTCAAAACCGACTCGAAGACGTTCGCCGTGCCGATGGCGCCGCCACGGAACGCCGCTGTGATGCCGGGGACCGAAGGATCGTTGACGGAAGTCATCGCGGGCGAGCTGTAGTTGGCGGCCCAGTGCGTGTAATCGCCAGCGTTCACCGGCCCGGACACGCCGGGCGCCCGACTACCCGAGGCGAGCAGGGTTTCGTCGCCGTCCAGATTGTCACGCCAGACCGTGTAGTCCGCGGCGTTG